TCGTGACTACAGAGTGCGTTGACTACCCATTATCCTTGGCTAGTGCCAGGCCAACCGCGCACTATCGTCTCTAGTACGGTTCGCCGGCTGGAATGTTCAGATGGCTGACCTTTTCCCCACAGTCACTGGCTCACTACTGAGCGGCATCGCCCTTCCCCGGAAAACCCCGTTTCCTATCGCTTTTTGCTCTACCACCACTCTGCCCTGCCATCGCTGCAAGAATCACAGTCTGCTTTCTTGCCCAGATTAACAGGGTGGGGGCGACCCATGGCGTGAAACGTCTACCGGTACAGTTGCGCTCGGGAGAACGTTCAGTCCACCGTACGACTTCGTCGAGGAACATGCGACTGAAGCCGCCAAGTGGACCGAATCGATCATCATGAGCTCCGAGTCTCGCCAAGCCACCGGGGCTAGCGGAAAATCTAAGCGGCGATACACAGACGTTGACGAGGATAGTCGGCAGAACCTCCCGGATGAGAATGCGACCCATCCCAAACGACAGCGCGTGTCGCGCGCATGCGACAGTTGTCGCTCGAAGAAGGATAAATGCGACGGCGCTCAACCAGTGTGCTCGACCTGCGCAACGCTATGCAGGCCCTGCACTTACAAGGCAAATCCGAAGAAACGCGGCCTGCCAACGGGGTATATCCGCTCCCTCGAGCTACTGTGGGGGCTGGTCTTCCAGAAAATTCGGGGTAGTGAAGATGTGATGCGCGCGTTGATGAGATCGATCAATATGCCCAGTCATTTGGCTACAATGGGAAAAGAGGCGGAGAGTTCGGACACATTGTTGGCGTCATTTAAGAACAGCACCGTCTTGAGAGATATTGAGCGCGTGCTGGTGGTGTTGGAACTTCCCGAGGAGGAAAAGCAGCGATCTCTTAAAGCTTGGGGAGAAGCTGATACGCCGCTCGACGTTGATTCCATTCTCGCCTCCTCCGAGGCCCAGGAATGGCAGATGCCAGAGGGGTTGGATAGCCGGGAGACACCATTACCCGCGGGCGTTTCGCCGTCTCGCCCTTCTGCCATCCGACATACCCCATCTCGCCCCAGCCGTGACTGCGGTACTCAGACACCTTCCAATAATGGCCCGAGCGACCACCCTTACTCTGCCTTTGCCATTCCCCGCACTCCCGGCCAATCTCCCACGAAACCCTCTCACCAGCTCCCCTACAATGCCTGGCCCCTTCTCGACATCTACTTTTCATACACACAATGCTGGTTCCCTATTCTGGAGAAACACGACATCCTTCGAACGGCGTTCCAATATACAGAGGGTGACGTGTATATTTCCCGCTCTGTTCCCGGTTCTGGAGATCATGCGGCCTTGTGGGCCGTGCTGACGCTGGCCTCGCTCCAAGATACGTCCATCTCTGCCACCCGATCGTTGGACGACCCACCTTCTGTAGATCCGTCTTGGCTGTACAGCACATCTAGAGACCTGATCCCACCAGAGGATGGGCCCCATGAAGTCGGCCATGTTCAAGCTCTGCTGATTTTGTCCCTCATCAAGTTTGGACAGCAGGAGTGGACCGCCGCGTGGATGCTTGTTGGACAGGCTGTACGAATAGCACACACCCTCGGTCTTGATCGGCCATCTTTCTCAGCCGAGCAAGACAAACAATCAGGACGAGCGAAGCATGTGTTCTTGGGATGCTTTGTTCTTGAGACCTTGATTGCGGAACAGACCTCACAGTGCCCGTCTTTGCGAAGAGCCGACCTAGCAAGGGTCGGATCGATCAACGAAGATGGACTGGAAGAATGGCACCCATGGGAAGATCAAACTGGACTCCGCCCTACCCAGACCGCGCGTGCTTCTCTGCAGCGCGGACCACTTCATGCCTTGAGCACTTTCAACCGTCTGGTGTCCCTCGTGTCCATATTAAACGACTTGTGTTGTTACAGACAAGACCCAACGGTGTCTCGCTCTCAACTAGAGTCACTCGATCTCCAATTGCAACGCTGGATCGCGTCTCTCCCGAAAAGCTACCGGGTAGACCTACAAAGCCGTCCTATCAAATTGGCATCGCCACACATCTTTGGGCTTGAGATGATCTATGAGAGCATCGTCACAACATTGAGCCTGCAGATCGCTTCGCGTGAATACAATCAAAACCTACCCGAGATGCCTCATAGGATGCGGGCTATGCAGAGTTCGAGTCGGTTATTGCAATTGCTTAATGTCTACATGGAAACCTACAGCATATCAACTACCAGCCCGACTCTCGGTATGATTCTCAGATACGGCCTCCCCCATGCGTCTTCCAGAGATTCCCCATGGAACCTCGATTTGGATCTTCAGAACAAACTCCAAACTTCTTCCTCCCACCTCTCTCTACTTTGGTCTCCGCCAGACAGACATGCTGCAAGCCAAGGCCCTCAAATACTCGGCCCATCTCCAACGGCTTCTCAACATCTGGGTGTCACCGCAAGTGAGGGTCCGAACCTACAGGGTGAGCTACGGCGAACTGCTTCTTCTCAACACATGCCCCCTCCAAGCGAGGGCAGTGCTTCCCGAAGCAACGCCAATTCTTCCGTTGACCCATTCCTCACGTCGCCCTGGCTTCGAACTACACAACCCTCACTCCTGCCCACCCCCACTTCGTCCTTGGCGCCCGTTGGCGGCGCCCCGGATATTCCACCACAGCCCGGCCACTTGGACAGTGCCTTGGGCAGCGGACTCCGGCAATCCGTCTCTGGTCCCTCCAAATCGCAACCTGCACCCGGCATACTCCCAGAACTCTCCCCTTCTTTCCATGCCACCGGACAGTATCCACCCACATATCAAGACCCTTCCCTCGGTCTCGGTTCGTTTGTTGACATGGACGGCTATGGACCCTCGCAACGACAGCGGATTGCTCCAGACCTCGACGCGCTATTTGACGAGCTGGCATCATTAGATGGCGCTGAAAAGTGAGTTGCTGTCCCGAAAGTTTGGTTTATCAATACTAATATTTTTTTTTGCAGGGCCGACAATCAGCCGGAGTTCATGCAAAACCTCGGGTTTGTCGCCGATGCTGGGATCCCAGAACTCTACTCGTTCTCGGGCCAAATCGAGCCATTTCTCCTAGCGCATGCTCAGCAGCTTCCGAGTAATGGGCCGCCACCTGCTGTGCGACGAGAATCGCAGCCGTTGAACATTTCCGCGGCTCCGAAACGATGACCTGGCCTGACTTGTTCATATATCTGTTGGTCAGGCATGTCGACCTTCAAACGAATAACAGCGAGCCTGTAATATCACTCCAAGCTCTCGGATACGGTTATGGATACGGTGTCATCCCTGGTGTTCAAAAAGTGTGTATATAAAGTATCTACCTCGTCATGTCTGTATACCCCACACACAACATGTTGTCAAGAACCTACCCCAATCTGTAATAGTAGAAACCGCCTTAAATTGTAATCCCACTAATTGAGTCCTTAAAAAATGAATCTACAAAGAAGCCTTCTTCTCCCTTTCCTCGAAATTCAACGCCACATGCTCGACGGCAACCTTATACCCATAGACCCCCAACCCAACAATAATGCCGGCGGCCTTATCACTAAAATACGAATGATGGCGCCACGGCTCCCGCGCATGGACATTGCTAACATGCAGCTCAATAAAGGGAATTGCGACGCCCAAGAGCGCGTCGCGGATCGCCACGGAGGTGTGCGTGTATGCGCCCGGATTGATGATGATGCCGTCGACTTTGCCGCGCGCGGCTTGGATACGGTCGACTAGCGCGCCTTCGTGGTTGGATTGAAAGGATTCGAGCGTGGCGTTGTGGGAGGCTGCCACTTCGCGGCAGTTGTTCTCGACGTCTGCGAGGGTGGTGTGTCCGTAGATGTGCGGTTCGCGGGTGCCCAGGAGGTTGAGATTGGGCCCGTTGAGGAGGAGGATGGATTTGACCATTTTGGGTTGGCTTGACAGTCTATGGTGACTGAGGGATTGGTGAAGAGCGAGTGAGTAAGTGGTTGAGGTAAAGGTGAAGTGAAGTGGTGGTGGTGTGGTGATGAGGGTAAGTCCGGCTGAGTGCTCTCCCGACGTGTGGGGTGGCGGTCTATGTACTTTGCCGATTTTGCGGAGAACCTTACTACAGCCCTGTAGATAATTGCTCATTAATATCATTTAATTTTATATTCGTGTAGTTCGCTAGTTAGGGTTAAATATCCATGAAGCAGAAAAAGCAGGGAAACGGCGAATTCCATCGCTGGTCCAGCTCAACCATGCCCCCGCGAAGGCCCACTGTTTCCGGTTCATTTTTTTGGACTCCACGACCGCGTGGTCGGGGTTAAAACACCGGGCGTGGAGCAAAGGTGCGACACTTCATCGGTAGCATCTCTGCGTAGCTAAGGAACCGGGGTGAAGAATGGCCAGTTCTGGCGAATTTCATCTAGCCACTGGCCAATTAGGGTTGGCAGCAGAAGAAGAAGTAATGAAGGTTTGTCTTCCTCAGTCATGACCGCATGCAGCAGTGCTGCAAGTAGACATTGTTTGGTCTTGCCAAATCCAGTTTCATCCGCAAGGATTGCCCCATGAATGGTACAGCTCTTAAGCTTCTCGCCGCTTCGCGTATGTCATATGGACCAGAGGTCCGTAGGAGAAGATGGCCGCACCCACCGGGGGCGACAGCCAGCTGGTGCCGGAATGGCTGACAGCCTATTTTCTCGTTTGAGGCATCCGGCCGCTTGGCATTGCGGAGGTTCACCTTTGTGTACCCGTACTCCGAGGCTGATGAGGGCTTCACCATCCAACACCCCAGCCGCTCGCCCGGTGGTCATTCGCCCGTGCAAGTACATGCAGTCCATACAGCTGCTATCGAGAAAGTCGTTGTTGGAGGCACGGGTAAGAAAACCATTGCTCGTAAACCTTGTTCCAGAAGAAGATCAGGAGGTGGATAGCCCGCTGTAGATCGTATTCATCTAGCTCAAATGGCGCTCAGAGCGCCTGTTATGAACAAACGATCAACGGCAGAACTCCATCGGATTTTTCGAGTTCCTCCGGCGCCCGCAAACTCGAGTCAAGTCTCAACATGAACCGTTCCATGTCCGGCGTACGCGAAACGCAAAGTGAAGGACGCGTTATTCTTGTGATACCAGGACCAAACTTGTCGAAAAATTTCTGGATTTTTGCTTTCCCATTCAGCGAACTTCACCTTGCGGGGCATCTCGTAGATCTGCGAGGGAATACCCATGATATCTTCGAAGGCGTTCCTGAGTATATCCACGTCTTTCTCAGCTCCTCAGGTAATCTGGGAGCCCGGTGAGAGCTACTACCTGACCTGTCGCATGACGAGGATCGAATACTAAACGTTCAAGAGCACATCGAAAGCTGTTTGTAGTGTGTATGCACAAGCCGAATTCGTTGTTCAGATCCCGACTGTGAAGCACAGGCACGAAGAAAGCAATTGATGCAACTAGCGTACCGAAGAAGGGTCCACGAAACTAGAGGTTGTCGGTATCGATGCGGTTACCGTCTGCGGATTTCCTGCTTCCAGCCTTCTGTATCTTTTGCCAAGGGCATTCCGCACCCACGTGGAAAGGACTTTTTGCCGGAGCTCCAGGTGGCCCTGGCGAAGGGCTCCTAGTTTCTTGACCTTGTGGTTCATTTCCGCACGATCCTTTACCATCTCTGCAAGATTAACTTTCAGCTCCTGCTTGGAAACCGAGATATGCCAGCGAGGGCGGAAAATGTGCTGAAAGAGTAGTTTCGTTGTCCGATTTAGTAGATGGGATACCGTAGCCAAGGACAAAAAGCAAAACAAATACGAGCCTCCGTTGCGCCATACGAAGTCCCCATGGGTGCTCTGCTATGCCTCTTTATTTCAAATAGGAAGCCACACTGCTTCGTATCGTGGTGAGGTTGGCAACGCTCTGCTTAGCGTCCTATTGTAGCAACGGCGCCCCTCTAACCATTTTGTCCACGGAGGCGGCAAGAGGGTTTTCCTTATCCTCAACTGAACTATGGTAGGCCATCTTGGTGTGACTCTCGATTGTCTGACCTCTGACAGAAGCCGACCCCGATCCCGGTCTCCCTTGTTCACACATTGAATAGCGCTTAGGAAGCACCGTGGACGTGAAAGAGGATAGAGATCACGAATGGAGTGAGTAGCTAGAACCACCACTCCGAGCTGCTGCCCAAAGGCGGCACGACGATGTGGGGACGAACCAATATGTTGGAATCTCGAGGTTTCATTCGTAAGGGACCAGTCGACGTCGACCGCACGGTCACCTTGTGTATCGCCAGTATGGGCTGTTTTTCGCATCATCCAGATGTAACAGCATCCAGGTCATCATATTCAATCGCCCTGAAGTGCCCCAAACACGCAATATCAAAAATCGCTGCCGTATAGCCGCGGCGTACCCAGCGCGTCTACAATCCGAATCCAGAAGCCAGGAAGTCCAAAACCTTCCCGGGCGACGCAGTCAGCGCCGCCCTACCGGCGGCCAAGACCTTGCGATGGCTCGACTGCGCAGCCGCCGCAGCATCATGGAGGGATATGAAGTCCTTGTATCGGTGTTGTCAGAATCTTCGATGCGCATAATCATGGATGTCTCACAGTCGAAAGTCTTGACCCTGTCACTGCGTTCGAGACTGGTGAGCACATATGGAGTTTAACAAGGCTAACAGAGGTATTAGATGCCTTTGGGAACCACCACAAGCGGAGTGTCAACGTATTTTTATCTTCGCTGAGCCTGGACCCCGCTGAAGATGCCTGGCGCTCGTCAGCAGTGTGACGGCTTGGTCAATGTTGTACGCGTGTAGACATTGAGACCGGGGTCGGTGGGGTGTCGAAAATTGGTATTTTGAGGGTGGTGTTCAGGGCTGTCCGAAACTCCTGGAGAGAGGGCACGTTCAGAATACTCGCATCCAGTGGCACAACAGGATCTGTAGGCCCTAAAGTGAAGTAATCGGACCACAACAGTCTATGCACACTAGGTTTGAGGAACATCAAGTCGGCGCAGGTTTCAGTGTTAAGATCGCAGGCAGCAGAACTGCATGTTGTGGGAACCTGGTTCCCCGGATAGACCGTACACAAAGGTGCTAGTGTGCCGATGCCAGACTTGTAGTCTTGTGGTTGTATAAAATTCTTGTTCGAAACTAGTCCACTCCTGCACGTCGTCGGAGACGGACCTGCCCAGGAGGGCGATAAGCTTGCGTAGACTATCCTCGTTATGTCAGTCGTCATACCTCGAGATGCCCGCCAATGTAGAGGCCCAACATACTTGATTGGGTGCAGAGGACTGCGTTGTTCTCCTTCCCCTGGTATCTCCGCTCATCGCGTACGCCGGCCATATAGGTCATACGCTGTGATTCCAGGCCTCTCCTCCGAGGTCGTGTTTCTCGTCGACTACGTTCCTTCGACAAGAGTGCTTTTGAAGAGAAGGAATGAGTGTTGAAAATATTATCCTTGATGAGGTATAAATATTATAGAGCGATGATATATTATAGAAAGAAGGTGGTAGAGGAGATGGAGGAAGGGGAGAGAGGAAGCAGGAGAGGATATTTATACCTAGAGGGAAGACACACAAGTCTACAAACATAATGACAAACAAAGGCAAACATCTCTATTGACAATGCAACAATATTCTATAGTTCTCCATATAGTCTGGGTCATCACTGATCCACTGATAAGCGGTTACCCGCGGGGCCCTCCCAACTCACCTTTTTCGCCTCTTCACTTCAAATTCCTCTTCCCCAAGTCCTTATTCACAACACCATTCTCTATAATATACACAAACAGATTTATTCCCCCACTATGACTATCGGACACCTCCCCCAAGAGGATCTCGATGCGATATACGCCTTCGCCGTGGACCTCGGCCGCAAAGCCGGCAAGCTGCTCATGGACCGCGTCGAGCAGCGCATCTCCGGCGCGGCGGTTCAGGACTTCGAGGAGAAGGAGAATGCGGTTGATATCGTGACGCAGACGGATGAAGGTGAGAAATCCTAGACAACCAGTTTCCAGCGACAATCCGCCTGACTCAGGTCTTCCTCCAGATGTGGAAGTATTTATTCGCAATGCGATTCAGAGACAGTACCCGTCCCACCAGTATGTTTGCAAATACACACTTACACAAGGAGGGAGGCTGATCCATGGCGGTAGATTCCTCGGCGAAGAAACCTACGCCAAGGGCCAGTCGCGCAACTACCTGATTGACGAGCGGCCGACATGGTGCATCGATCCATTAGACGGTAAACCACGCCCTTACACCCACTACATCTCATACTAGCTAACACCTTGCAAAAGGAACCGTAAACTACACTCACCTCTTCCCGATGTTCTGCATCTCAATCGGGTTCATCGTATCCCACCGCCCTGTGCTAGGGGTAATCTACGCCCCCTTCCAAGACCAGCTCTTCTCAGCCTGTAGCGGTCGCGGTGCCTGGCTTAACGAGTTACGCCGGCTCCCGCTGATCCAGAGCCCATCAATCCCGCCCATGCCGCCCAATGCGCCCGCGCAGTGTATCCTGTCTTGTGAGTGGGGCAAGGATCGGCGCGATATCCCCGACGGGAATATGCATCGCAAGATCGAGAGCTTTGTTAATCTTGCCGCGGAGTTGGGCGGTCGGGGTGGGAAAGGAGGCATGGTGCATGGGGTCAGGAGTTTGGGGAGCGCTACTTTGGATTTGGCATATACGGCTATGGGGGCTTTTGATATTTGGTGGGAGGGAGGTTGTTGGGAGTGGTGAGTCTCTTTCATTTTCGGGATTTGCATGGTTGTCTATTTTTATGATTGTTTGACTGACTTGTGTGTGCAGGGATGTTGCGGCTGGCATTGCCATTCTGCTTGAAGCCGGCGGGCTAGTGACGACTGCAAATCCGCCGGAGGATGTGGAGACGGCGCCGATTGAGGATGTGAGACTGGGGAGTCGGCTGTATCTGGCTATTCGGTGAGCCTCAGACCTGTTTCGTTTCTCATCATCACCTGCTAACAATTTCGATACAGACCGGCTGGCCCTTCGGCTACTGAAACAGGCCGCCAGTCGCAGGAGCGGACAGTCCGACAAGTCTGGCGGCGGGTTCGCCAACTCGAATACTCGCGGCCGGGAGCATAGATAGGGTCCCAGGAAAGAGGCTGTAGATATTTCGGTACGATCATATTATATACAGGAGTCCGACTCCATCGTCCCATCTATGTATAACATGCAAGTAAAAGTGTATGCGCTGCCCGACAAAAACGAAATTCATAATCGTGAAAATCAAATCAAAGGCTGGATTTTTTGGATGCCCGCTCGGCCACCGACTTGGCCACCACGTCCTTCACTTGCTGTACCAGACCCGGCGTGCCAACCACATCCTTGCCGGTCCACAGCCGCGCCTGTTCCAACCCCTGCCAGATCAGGGCTTCCGAGCCGAGAATCACCATCCACCCACCGGTGGAAGCCAATTGAGCGATCTCGGTCCAGGGAACCGGGTGGTAGCACATCTCCAGAATGACACCCTGCTGCGATTCGGCGGTGGCAGCAGTGCCCAGGAAAGCCTGGATGACCGCACGAGCATTCACCTCCTCGGGGGTTTGAGGCGGGTAGTTAGGGATGCCTGACACAATCGCAGCCGGCGACTCCAGACGAGCCGCCTCAGCGGGGTCCGCGACATGGATAATAGGCGCCTGTGCGTTCGGGTCCGGGTTGCGACAGCGGTCTTCCTCAAGAATAGTAGCCACCTCGACGGCGTCCCGATTCACGATATAAATGCGGCTCGCACCGAGCCAGCGGCGCAGAACATAGATGGCCGTACGGGCGGTGCCGCCGCCGCCGATGATGAGGGCTGGACGGCCACGGAAGCGCGATGGGTCCGGCGCGTTCTGCACCAGGGCCTCGCGGATGCCGTCGCAGTCCGTATTGGTGCCGACGTAGGACTTGTGGCCTGTGACCGGGTCGCGGCGCAGGAAGATGGTGTTGCAGGCGCCCGCTTGCCGGGCGTGCTCGGTCAGGTCATCCAGGTGCGGCATGATGGCCACTTTGTGCGGCATTGTTACCGAGGATCCCACGAACTTGGGGTTGGCTTTGATCGAGGCGAGGAATTTTTCGATTGGTGGTGACCGCGTGTACGGCGGCGGATAAGTCGCGGACTGTCCTGTCACGCTGGACAGGGGGATCTGTCTCCAATTCAGGCCCAGGGCATTGTACACGGTCTGGTGCAGTGGCGGCGAGAGGGAGTTGAGGAGGGGATGCCCATATAGGTAAGCCACGCCGTCTAGGTTGGCTGGGCTGGTGATCGGCTCCTCAGGCGGGGAGGTGAAGGAGGAGGAGGTGGTGGTGGTGGTGGTAGTGGTAGTGGTAGCGACAGACGGAGCAGCCATGATGAAGCGTGTACAGATATTTTCTGCAGGATGGAGCAACGCGTGCGCTATGTATAAAAAAGGGACCGGGGACGACCGGGGGAACGAATAATAACGGGGGTGGGACGAAGAAGCAAAGAGCCGCCGAAGGTGAAACGATAATTTGACCGGGCAGAACGCTTAGCCCGCGAAGATCAGTGGGTCACCTGATAATCGCTTTCCCACCGCCACTGATCTCAACTTCGTCATCATTGGACGTTTTTTCGTCTGCGCACTGGCGGCTGGTCGAATCAGCGCAGGGCAATTTCGCCATCCAAGCGAGCCGGTGCATATGGGGTTTCCCCGTACGGAGAATGTCCCTCTTCTTCTCCCCCAGACAACTATTCCCCGTGGAGCAGACGCGCCACATCCTGGGTGCTCCACTTCACAACCCGATCTTCGCCCCAACGGACCAACCAGCAGAGTTTTCCAGGACTTGCCTCCCCAACTCTGTTGGCTCACCGGGCCAATTGATCCAACTCGGGCGCACTGTCCTCCAACACAGCTTCATCGTTTTGCCGCGGTGCGCAATTAGTGCTATTCTTTTCTCCGCATCTCCATCCTTTTTTCCCCTAGTTGAAGACCCCAGATTTTTACCTTTCTTTCTTCCCACGGCCGAGTGCACCTGTCTGGGCCCCCCCGTGAGTATTTAGATCTCCTGCACCCACCCTCCTTCGGCGGAATTGTGGCGTGGTCTTCTCTCATTCCTTCCCACACATACATACCCCCATATACTTGGGAGTCTGGCAATCATCCCTTAAAAAAGGGTGAGCTTTTGCCTCGCTGCACATACATTTATAAATATTTGTGAAACCGCATCCGCCACCATGTCTATCCTGAAGCTGGTTGAGGACCGGCCGACGCCCAAGTGCGTCTACAACTGGCGCGTCTACCTCCTCGCGGCCGTGGCCTCCGCCACCTCGTGCATGATCGGCTACGACAGTGCCTTCATCGGCACGACCATTTCCCTGGACTCGTTCCAAAACGAGTTCAATTTCGCCTCCATGTCGGAGTCCGAGCAGAATCTGCTGAGCGCCAACATCGTCTCCTGCTACCAGGCTGGTGCTTTCTTTGGTGCCTTCTTCGCGTACCCCATGGGTCACTTCGCGGGTCGCAAGATCGGTCTGCTGGTTTCAGCGCTCGTCTTTATCCTTGGTGCTGGCCTAATGCTGGGTGCTAATGGCGACCGCGGACTGGGCTTGATCTACGGTGGACGAGTGTTGGCTGGCCTGGCTGTCGGTGCAGGCTCGAACTTGACTCCCATCTACATCTCCGAGCTGTCACCACCGGCTATCCGTGGCCGATTAGTCGGTGTCTACGAACTGGGATGGCAGATTGGTGGTCTGGTAGGATTCTGGATTAATGTGAGTTCCTCTTACCCATTACATTTAAAAAGTCAGCTCGCTAATACACGGACAACAGGATGGTGTCTCAACAACCATGGCCCCGAGCCACAAGCAGTGGATCATCCCGTTCGCGATCCAGCTCATCCCTGCTGGCCTCCTGGTCATCGGCGGCGTGTTCATTCGCGAGTCGCCTCGTTGGCTGTTCTCGCGCGGCCGTCGCGATGAAGCCATCAAGAACCTCTGCTGGATGCGCCAGCTGCCGCAAGATGACATCTACATCATCGAGGAGATTGGTGCCATCGACCAGGCCCTGGAGGAACAGCGCTCCAGCATCGGCGTCGGTTTCTGGAAGCCCTTCAAGGCTGTCGGCTCCAACAAGAAAGTTATGTGGCGTCTCTTCCTGGGCAGCATGCTCTTCTTCTGGCAGAATGGCTCCGGTATCAACGCCATCAACTATTATTCCCCGACGGTGAGTCATGACAATCCCATTGATACCCCTGCATAGCTGACTGAAACTCTACAGGTCTTCGAAGCCATTGGCGTCCGTGGCGCAAACACCGATCTGCTCAGTACGGGTCTGTTCGGTGTCGTCAAGACCGTCATCACTTTCTTCTGGCTCCTGTACCTGATCGATCGCGTCGGTCGGCGCAATCTTCTGATGATTGGCGCCATTGGTGGCTCCATCTGCATGTGGATCGTCGGCGCATACATCAAGGTCGTTGAGCCGGCGCAGAATCCCACAAAGCACATGAGCGGTGGTGGCATTGCCGCCATGTTCTTCTTCTATCTGTGGACCGCGTTCTACACCCCAACCTGGAACGGAACCCCCTGGGTTCTCAACTCCGTAAGTCTTGCACCTCAAATAACCCAAGACAAGCCATAGCTGACAGTGTGGATCAATCAGGAAATGTTCGACCCCAACATGCGTTCCCTGGCACAAGCCTGCGCCGCGGGCTCGAACTGGCTATGGAACTTCCTCATCTCGCGCTTCACGCCGCAGATGTTCGCCAAGATGGGGTACGGTGTATTCTTCTTCTTCGCATCCCTGATGATCCTCTCGACGGTCTTTGTGTTCTTCCTCATCCCCGAGACCAAGGGCGTGCCGCTCGAGAGCATGGACCAGCTGTTTGAGATCAGGCCCGTGTGGCGTGCTCACGGCCAGATTGTTGAGCGGCTGCGCGAGGATGAAGAGCGCTTCCGTCATGAGATTGAGGAGTCCGGGGTTGCGGCTGCCAAGATTGGGGATACCCATGTGGAAGATGCTGGGAAGGCGGAGTACGCTTGACCGATTGGATGTGAATGTTTGAGTTTGTTGTGCTTTCTTGCGTGTTGCTTGTAGATACCTGATGTGGATGATGAATTTGTGTGTGATGCTAGACAGAGTTTGGTTGTCTGGAAATGATATCCCATTCGCTTTTGAGAAGGAGCTTTTTCTGTTTCCAACGCTGCTATGTATAATTGTGTCGATGTCGAGTCAAGCAAAAACCTTAAGTCTTTTCCTTCCTATAAATATGCCCGATCTCTGGTCATGTTCACCGCAATGCTGGAATCCATTGACTGCTCATCTCGCACCATAACCAAAACCAAACAACCTTTATCTATTTGACTTAGACAACAAGTCCACATCGATATCAACCGGCTGACCGGAGTGCATGGCCCTCTGAACAGCTTCGCAAACAATCAAAGCACGAAGCCCCTCTTCACCCGAACAGCTAGGCGTAGCATCCCCCCTCACAACATCCACAAAATGTGCCAGCTGCAAATCAAAGGGGGCAGCATCATCCGGCAACGGAATCGTATCAACGGTAAGCGGAAGAGCCCAGCTCTTCTCGGGGCTTCCATCATAGCTCCAGCGTGTCAAATCAGGCACGCTCAGCGACGCATCGGACCCAAAAATCCGATAGAAATCCGCGTCCCTTCCCGTCGTCGACTTTGGAATCATAGGGTTCTCGCCCGTGCCGGTCTCAAAATTGTGCGGCGATGGCGTAGCGTCGCAGACTAGGAATGTCCCCACGACGCCAGAGGCAAATCGCAGAGTGAGCGCTGCGCCTTCGTCGGCGTCGTGTGGGGGGCTCGGTCGTTGGGGGAGTGTGCGCTCGGCTTGTACGCGGACGATCGGTCCGAAGAAGTGGTGCATTAGGTCGATGTCGTGCACGAGGTTGATGGGGATGACACCGCCGCCGCGGGTGCGGGAGGCACGCCAGTCGCCCGGAGGTGCGAAGTAGGAGGTCGGTTTGTGCAGCGTCCAGAGACCGTTTATGGCAATGGGTCGCCCGAGGGAGCCGCTTTCGAGGATGGATTTGGTGGCTCGCACGTAGGGGTTGAAGCGGCGGTGGTGGCCGACTAGGAGCTTGAGGTGGGCGCGCGATGGTTCTTGTGCGAACTCCAG